TTGGAATGGGATCTCCAATCCTAGTTTTTGAAGGAATCTCCACACTGATTTCCATAGTGGCTGTGCCATTCTACACTCCTACCAACAGTGGAGAAGGGTTCCTTTTTCTCCACAGTCCCTCCAGCATTTGTTATTGGCTGACTTTTTCATGTTAGCCATTCTTTCTGGGGTTAGATGGAATTTCAGGGTTGCAAAAAGCCAACTCTTCAATTAATTGATTTTCAGAGTCTCCACACTGATTTCCACAGTGGCTATACCATGTACACTCCCACCAACAGTAGACAATGCTCCCTTCTCCCACAGCCCTGCTAGCATTTATAGTTGGTTGATTTCTTGATAATAGCCATTCTTTGTGGGGTGAGACAGAAACTCAGTGTTGTCTTAATTTACATTTCTCAAATGACCAATGATGTAGGACACTTTTTCACATATTTACCATTTCTACTTATTCATCAAGTTTATTCATTTCAGATGCCCATTTTTGAGTTGAGGTTTTATTTATTTTTTTAATTAATTTTATTAAGAAAGAAATAGAATTGAGACAGTTTTAAAGCAGGTTAGTAGGACAGTTACAATAATTAATACATTGCATATTGTTGGCCTTGTAGTAGTTATTCATAGTACAAAATACAGACATGATATCTCATCTAAGCACTATTAGTACAAGTATTTATTCATTTATTTATTTATTTTTTTCTGTACTTAATTTTCATGGACTTTTATTTATTTATTTGTTTTTTGAGTTGGGGTTTTAAATTTGGGTATTTGATCTTTTTGGATTTCCTTATATACTTAGAAAGTAGTTTTTCATCTGAGAAGCAGCTGGAAAACTGTGGTTTTTCTCTTTACTCTATATTTGCATGTGGGAAGTTTTTCCAGCGGATGCAACTAGAGGCTATATTCATAAGTGAAATAAACCAGACCCACATGTGTAAATATTGTATTGTCTCCCTAGTGTAAGAACCCAAAAGAAAAAATAAAACCTGAAAGTTACAACAGAAATAGTAAAATGAAAAGAAATGGAACTTAAGGATTAAACAATGAAGAGGAGAGGAAAAAATGAAGATAGGAAAAAAGGTAGGGGAAAAACATGCGAGTATACATACAGGATTGGCTGAGGTGATTGTACTAAGAATTTCCATCAGTTTTTTTGAAAGTAGCAGTTTATGTGTAGAATTTTCACCTTGACTAACTCTGTATGCTGATACCTGCAACTGAGCAACTACATCCAGGATAGCAATGTGTAATACAAAAGCCATGCCTGAATGCCTGTCATCTTGATCTTCTAATTGTGCACCATTTCTAATATCATGGCAATTATTACTATACTCTCTTTAATATAAAGTATTAAAAAAGGTAAGAGAAGAAAAAAGACAATAACACAAATTTAAGGTTTCTTGTAAGCAAGCAGTAACATTCAATCACATGACCAATCTTATATAACTATATCTGTTAATCTGAGCAACAGATTTGACAATAAAAATAGATAATATATCCACCACTGTTAATCAGCTACTATTGTTTTGAAAATCTGTACAATATGTATTGCTGTATGTTACCCTGTTTGTCTTTGTTTCTGATTTTTGTTCTTGCTTTTTTTACTCTTCAAAATTAAATTAAATTAAAAAAGAAAAGTTTTTCTGGCACCATTTGTTAAAGAAGCTATTTTCCGGTGAACATATTTGGCATCTTTGTCAAAGATAAGGTGGCTAAGTATGTCTAGAGTTATTTCTACATCTTCTAGTCTTATTGGTCCTCATG